TTTTTAGAGCCAAGTAAATATTTTCTCTTTAAGTCACTAATATTGTTTTGCAAAAATATTCCTGAAATAATCCTACAAATTATTCAGTTAGTACTTTGCATTGGATCTAACAAGATGGTTAATTTTAGAAATGTTTTGGCATACAATGTAGTAAAAGATTAGCTTTTAAATATACAGAAAACCAAAAAAAATTAGCTTTAACATTTCCTTTTCTTTGAACTTTTAATTCCTTCTTTCTACAGGGTGACTAGAAAGTCATTGCCCGCGCCTTTTTTATCATAACCTTATTAAAACTCAATCAAATAATGTCAAAATACAATCAAATAATAGAGAATTAAATGGGGAACAAAATAAATTAGGATTTTTAGAAATACACCCCTTTGGCTTTAAGACAGAGACGCAGACGCAAGCAAAAATTTTTGCAAGATTGCCGCACCTTCTCAGGTCCTCTTTTCAGATGGCAAAATTTTTATGAAAGAGATATGTTTGAATCACAAAAATGACTGATTTTGGGCCTCAAAATCTCCTCTTTCTTATCCAGTTGTAAAGGATTTCCAACTGACTTCCTTCGAATTGATATGGAATTTTATTTGCAAAACGATAAAAATTCCTTGATTTCCATGAATCCTTGGGTCAAAATCAATAAATACGCCGATTTACGCGAAATCCTTAAGTATGTTTTAGAGCCTTGCATCTGAGGAAACTTTTGGCATAGGGACTGGATCTTTAAGCAGAATTCTTCCCCTGCTTATAGGGCTAAAGTTATGCAAGGTTGTCGCTCAGCCAATTTACACAGTTTTAGCGTATCTCAAAAATGGCTACCGTACACACCGGGTTTAAATCCGTGGATTTATTTTTTTGGTCAATTTTGAAGGCAAGGCTCTTTGCTTAAAAACCCAAAAGTTTCAAGTCACTACGACAATCACTCGTTCGGAAATTGGGAAAAATCACAGGATAATAGGTGCGGCAATCTTGCAAAAATTTTTGCTTGCGTCTGCGTCTCTGTCTTAAAGCCAAAGGAATGTATTTCTAAAAATCCTAATTTATTTTGTTCCCCATTTAATTCTCTATTATTTGATTGTATTTTGACATTATTTGATTGAGTTTTAATAAAGTTATGATAAAAAAGGTGCGGGCAAAGACTTTCTAGTCACCCTGTATTAATAAAGTATTTAAATATTTGTAGGATTGCTTCCTGTAGTACATTCAATTATTTTCTGGAAATTATTAGAGATACTTTTGCTTTAGATTATTTGAACCTTTTAGAAATTATATTTTATATTAGCTAATGTAAATATTTCTGCTTCGTCGCTAAAAAGACTTGGTTTGGTTTTAACCTTTGAGGTCTGTCTCGGTATTGGGACCTTGTCTTGCTCTCAAGCGTATTGGGATGGAAATTTTGTCTTAAAGCTTGTAAAATTTTCGGTCTTGGACATCTCTAATAATTATTGTCCTAATATTATTGTTCTGTTCCCATTCTGAGTTATCGAAAATCTCTCCTTTATCCCTTCTGGGAACTAATGCTGTTTTTACCGTAATGAGATAATAATGTAATGAGATAGTAATGTGACACTAATTTTTCATATAGATAAAATGAAGAATGAACAAAATATTTATTATATTAAAACATATCGAAGAAATTTACATAATATTCGTCGAAATTCAAGAGAAATTTTATTTTGTCCTCTAGCAGCATTTCTCTTCACTTTAACTAGCCTTTTAATAATCAACATTATCAACAAAAATATTTTAAAAGCCGATGCAGCTAAAAGACGTTTGTGTGGACCGAGACTTACTTCAGAATTATGGAGGGTTTGTACAAAAGCAGGTAATTAAACAAGTTAGTTATGTCTGTTGCAGAATTGGGACAAAATTATTTTTCCGATATTTTTTCTTCCAAATTTCTGATCAACTTTTTCTCTTATAGCATACAAATTTTAAAGTATGGGCAAGAATTTTTTAAATTAGGAAAAATGCTGGAAAAATACCCCCATTTAGTTTTTCATATATTGGAAGCTCCGTAAATACTGATTACGAAAATCATTTTTGTTAGAAAAACAATTTCAGGATCTAAAGGCCCATGCATCCACGGAGTTAGTAAACGTATAACAACAAATCAAAGAAATATCTTCATCAAAGAAAGGCAATTATTACGGAGAAAATACTTAAGTACTTTTTGGAATATGCATTATCAGATAATCAAAAACGGTTAGAATTTTCCTTAAAATTCTGGGCTCCAGACATAGAGCCGAGGTTTTCTGAATCGCTCTACGATGAATTGGTGTATTTTTGCGTTTTTCGTTAAAACTAACAATAGACGCAACGCAAGGTGGTGAATTCCCGATATAAATAAACAAAAATACACTAAAAACAGATATTTATATAATCATTCACATTTTTAATGAAAACCTTTTCCTGTCTTATCTTTAAATTTTTAATAATTAAAAAATAAATTTCTCAAAATATTTCAGGTTTATCCAATCAATTATTAACTAACAATAGAGAATTGTTTAAAAACCGAGAAAACGAAAACAAAATTTTAGAACGACGTAAAAGGAAGGGAATTGTTGATGAATGTTGTAAAGGTGAAGGATGTGATGAAGCATTTCTCGATTCTTTTTGTAAGAGATTTTATAGGGCATATACAAACATTTCTTTGGATGAAGTTATAAATTAATTTTATTAATGTTCAACAAACGACTGTTGGACGGAATTATTGTTGTTAGCATATTTTCAGGCTTTTAGTCAGTCCTCCCCTCCCCCCTCCACTCCCTTCCCAATAAAAAGATAAAATTAAAAAATTTTTATCTTTATTTAAAGAAAAGTTAAAATAAGTAGTTAAGGATGCTCAATTTAAGATTATTATTTCAGGTTGCAATGAAGACGAACAAAAAACTTTAGAAAAATTAACAAGTTAATTGGAAAATTTTCAAGTGATTTATTTAATTATGTCCTATATTTCCCTTTTAATTTAAATATTTTTAATTAAAATTTTATTTGTTTATTTTTATTTTTTAACCTCAAATATATTTAATAAATTTGATATAGTAAGTGGCATTTATTTTGATATAAGTGGCTAGAGTAGAGGTGGGACCCCCGGAATAAGATATTACCATGCGGTGGGCCCAAACCCCAGAATGATGGAATACGGGAGGGGATATGCCCGGGACTTCCTAAGAGGAACCAAAGGGTTGATCAGGCCCCCGGTCGATCTCCTGCACCAGGCATACACAATTGAACACAATTTATATATTTATTAAATCCAAATATTAAAAGCTTTATTAAAACATTATTTATTTCATTAAAGTGAATGAACAATAAGACACTTGCAAGGTGATTACAAATCCTTTTAAATGTGTGAGAAAAGTGGGAGGGAAATGAATAATAATAAAATGACTATAAACTATAGGAAACAAACTCCGAGAATACCTTTGACCCTTACACGTCCCTTTCCCATCAAGACCGTCCCTGGTCTTAATCTAGACTTAACAGACTTTATTTTATTTTTCAAAATTTAATTTTTCATCGTTTCCCAAACTACTTAAATAATGACCATTCACATTTATTTTCTCAATCGATAAGCACTCTGGTGAGATGGCGAACCTAATTTAAATTTCTTCTTTATTTATCACATTTCTTTTTGTGCTCTTCGAGCATATCTCTCCTTTTTCCTTTTTTGGACCGACCCTGGTCCATTTTTAGTGCTTATCGATTATTTCATGAGAAATTTCACTTGATATTATTAAGTAGTGGGGTTTGATATAATTGTAATTGTAAGAGTTTCAGAGTCTGTTTAGTCTAGTTGGGGTTGTATTCCTAAAATTTCTTCAGGTTTCAGGTGAGTATGTTTCCTTTTGTATTAAAATATGGGTACGAGTAAAAATGCATATAAATTTCAAAAATTAAAAATAAGGATAAATTGTGACATTGAAATGTTTGTGAAATTATAAAATAAATTAAACGGGTAACGCTTTGAATAAAAATATAAATTCATAAATCAATTGTGTGAAATAAAATTTAAAAAACCCAGAAAACTACCGAAGTGTTTGAAATGTGATAAAAAAATTGGGTACAAATGAGTAAAGTAAAACTTGTAATAGAAAATATTTAGAGAATTGGTAAAGGAATATTCTCAAAATAACGTACAAAATAAATTTGGGTATAAGTGGTTTGGTTGAAAGGTTAATAGAAAAAGTTTTAAGTATTTTGAATAAACATTTAAAATTGATGTAAAAGTTTTGACATAAATAACATTTGATTTGTGGGTATAAATGGGTATATTTTAAAAGTTTGCAAAAACAATAATTTTGAAGTTGGGAATTATATAATAGAAGAGCATAAATAGTAATTTAAAAAAAAATTTGGGATATTTTTAAATGTAATTGTGAAAGATTCTTTAAAAATTAATAGAGTAAATGTAAATAATTTGTGAGGGAGTAAATCAATTGTAAGTCCTATAAATATAATTGTAAAATTTGTAACAATTTAAATGAAATTTGACAATTTAAGAATTTAAAATGTTAAACTAATAAATGTATTAAATTTAATGAATTAGTGGGAGTTTAAGCTTAAAAGTATAATTATAAAATGTACTTAAGTGAGGGTAAAAATTTTGTAAAAAAAATGACAAAATGTAATATAAGTGGATTAATACAAATTGGCATAAAGTTTAAAAAAATTTAAGTATATATTAACAATAGGTAAGAAATATTGGGAAAACATTTTGATTGACATTTAAAATGTATAAATAAATGAACTATGATTAAAATTGAATTAATAAATTTAAATAATTTTGATTAAGTGAAGAAATTGAAATTATAGGTAAGGCATGTTATAAAAAAATTTAAGATTAATAAAACCAAAACAAATAATGGGAAAGATTTGTAAATGACATTACATTAATGAATAAGATTCAGTTTAAAATAATTAATAGGAAGTGAGAATGTGTATTTAAGTACAAAAAAAATTTAATTGATTAAAAACACAAATTTAATATTTTCCTCCTCTGCCTCTCCAACTCTCATTCTTCCTTCAAGTATTCCAATTACAATTTCGAGCAATATGTCCAGTGCGCCCACAGTTGAAACATGTATTGGTCCTGCTCCTCTCAAATGTTGTATTAGCATATTCTTTCCAGTTTCGTTGAGCTGGTCTTTTCCTGTAATTTGATAAATTAGTATTTATATTATTTTTATTAAAATTTAAGTCTTTTTCAAACCACTCATTATCTCTAGAATTCCTATCATTTCTGCTCCAATTATTAGTTGATCCAGAAGTGCGGCCGAAACCATATGAAGATGTTGAAGGCTGTTGTTGTTGTGTTGAGGGGGATACTGCTCATCCACAAAGTCACCGACCATCCGACCCGACGAAGACAACAATTGACCGAACCTATCTCGCATACAACTACCCGACTGGAGGACTTGAAGATATTCCGGACCGACAATTTGAGTGAACTCAGTTGCACAACAGATGAACCGATTCCAGATAATTCTACATCGAAGTGTTTCAAAGTCAGCTATAACGAAGAGACCGTGCTTAGCACGACTCAACGCCAGTGGTCTGATACTCATAAACTGTGACAACCAACACATTCTGACCCAAATTCTCAAACGCTTTCTGGAGAGACTCTTTCTGAAATGTACATAAACAAATAACAGCCAGAGAAATATCGGTGGAAATTTTGTCGTACAACGCAGAAATCAATTTAATGGCAGAAGCCGAATGTTAATCATTGCACAAAGAGTGAGAAGTGTTGTCCTGTCTACAAGTTTCAAGAATATCAAATAGCCAGAGAAAAATGCTATTGCGTTGGAATCCGCCATCGCATGACATCAGAGGACCTCCTCCAACTTCTTGGCTAGCTTTGCCAAAGGCAAATTAGCTGCAGCTACAACACCTTCACATTGTTCAAAATGGAAAGCATCAGTGCATCATAACTGAAGCTAAATGAGTCTTTCAAACGCCTGGTGGCGCCTATTGGAAAACAAACTTGCAATCATCTTCCAAGAGAAATTAGCGGTCTCCTGCTGCTTTCCGTTTAACATATTCATTAGTGGGTGAACAATGAGGACTGCCGAGGCATTTGGTTCTTCATCATCAAAATCTGTTTCAAATTCACGAGCTATTAAGGCGAGGAGGAGTTTACCTTGATTCGTACTCTGGCTGACAACATCGACGGTTAGTGTTGTTCAAAACAATCACGTCGACTCTCAAGACCTTTGAATATTAGTGGATGACAAACAATAAAACCGCCATCTTTCGCGTCTTCGAGTTCCTGCTCAACATCCCTGTTCTTCCGCTTTTGAACATTAATAACCTTAACAATTTTCCAAAAATCAAACTTTTTATTCCCGAAGGACTGAACTTGGGAAAGATTTATCTTTTTAACAACTCTCACTGCAAAATGGGCTTCAGTCACCTCAATTCCAAATAGCTTCTGTCACCTCAATTCCCAGCTCAATCTCTTCATCATCATCTTCTTCCTCTTCGTCTTTTTCTTCTTTATCCTCATTATTTTCTTCTTTCTTTTCTCCTTCATCCTCTTTACCCATTTCGTCAACCTCATTCATTTCCATTTCTTCTGGCCAATCTTCTTCAACAACTTCAATCCAATCTCTGAAGATGTTGACCCTTGGTTCTTCGTCATTTTCAATATTCCTGGGCTCTTCTTCTTCCTCATTAATAATATTTTCTTCTTCCATTTCATCTTTCTTCCATAATTCAGGATCCGGTACTTTGTTGAAGCACATCTCAAAACTATTGAAAATCTAGGAAATTTGTTTAATTAAAGGAATATTATATATTTTTTTATATATTTTTTATATTAAATTTAAATTTTAAATCCATTTGATAGCCGAAGCAATTATAAGTATTATCTGTTTTTTGGGCTTTTTCTTAAATTGTATCTACTTAGTCCCTGGCGAACTACTACTTCAACCTGACTACCTTCTGCTACTTCTGAATTTGGCTCAGCTACTTTACTTTGCGAGAATCCTGGCGTGTTAACTATTTATTCTGCACCAGATTCTTCTAACGCTTCCAACTCTTCTGCTTCTAACCTAGGAGTTGTGCAAACCGGTTCAGTCGGGAGTGGCTCTATACTTTTCTTAAGCTGATTAAATTGGATGAGCCTATTTTACCAGCATAATTCCGAAGAAGCACTCTATCGCCGATTGTTACAGTGGGATTCCTAATCTATCTGTTTTTGACCTTTGCTGTGCCTCAAAATTGGCTTCCGCTGCATATTTCCAAGCGCTTCGCAAAGAAACTATTAATTTTTGTTTAATTTCTTGTGTATCATTTGATGCTATAGGATCTCTAATTTTAGGATCAAGAATTAAATCAACGCAAAAGATTGGATCTCTGCCGTATATCAAAAGGAATGGGGTTTCATTTGTTGAATGGTGGACCGAGGTGTTATAACAAAAGTTGGCGAATTCAAGATGTTCATCGAAATCTGGCTGGTCTTTAGTAATACACTTAGCGAGAATATCGTGGAATTTTCTGAATGACCTCACAGTCACTGCATTGCCTTTGCTCCAATGAGGTATGGCATACGTTTTATTAATGTACAACATTGCACAGACTTTTGAAAAACTCTGAAGTAAATGCCAAAGCATTGTCAGTAATTAATTCCGTGCAGCCGCCGAAGAGTAAATAACAATTCCTGATAAATGCCGAAGCAAAGGTACACTTTTTGGGGCTTAATTTTAAATTAAAACGCCTACATCTTTCAAAAACACTTCTGAGGGCCTTAATATGCTCATCAAAATTTTCAGACTTAGTGAAAATTAATATATCATCAACATAAGCAATCACATTTTCAAGTCCAGTAAGTACATGATCCATTATTCGCGCGAACGCACTAGTAGCATTTTTAAGACCGAATGGTAAATTTATCATTTGATGAATTTTATCCTCAGTAATTATACACATTTTCTTGAGGCCCTTTCACTAAGCTTAATTTGCAAATACCCGCTAGCAAGGTCAAGAGATGAGTAATATCTACAATTACCAACTTTTTCTAAAATTGTTTCAAGTCTTGGGAGAGGAAAGTGATCAGCTACTGTCACTTCATTTAATTTTCTAAAATCAATGCATGGCCTAAGCCCACCATCCTTTTTCTGAACTAATACTATGTTCGATACCCATGGGGTATCAGACTCAACCATCACCCCTGAGGCTAATAGCTGGTCGATATGCTTTTGCAATTCATCTCGATACTTAAACGGTACCCGATGAGGCCTAGAGGCAACTGGTTCCTCAGATGTTGTAATTATGTCATGCTCGCCTGCTGTACAACTCCCTATGTCATACTGGCTTTTACTAAATATATCTTCAAATTCTTCACAAAGTTCTTTTAATTTATTAAGGTCTTCACCCTTTACAGTGGCTTTTTCGAAGTCAATCTTGTAAGTTGGATCAATAGTCACCCCTGACTTCCCTAGAGAAAATATTTCCTGTGTTTCCTCACTAAAGTTAGTTTCTGCTAAAATATTTTCAGATTCAGTTTTTAGTACTTCACTTGCTAACCCTAGGGTCCTTCCTTTAAATAATCTTTTAGTTGTGCCTGTTGGATTGGCTAAAATAATTTGCACTACACCATCCTTGGGATTGGTTACTACTGGAACAAAACTTAAACCTTCTTCCTCAAGTCTATCATCCATTGAGTGAATCCAGATATTATGCCTAAGCAATTCAGGGAAATTTATTTTGGCTTTTATTACACTGCTGATTAGGTCTTATTTCACAAGTCTCTAATGCATGTATTTTCAGATTTCTGAGAGGCCTATTTATTCTATTTTCAATACATATTTGGTTTCCTTCTATACAAAACATTTTATTTTTCAAATCTACAATAAAAGGAGGCAACTGCGCTAGTGCGTCGCACCCCATAATAAAGTGATAATCATGGTTATCCCAGTGGAATTTATCATTAAAAAGATGAATTACAATTTCAACTACTACTCCAGCGATTTTTAATTGCACACTAGTGGCCTGCTTTGCACACATGGAGTGCTCTGAGGCACTTTGGAGGTATGTTTCAGTTCGAAAAATTTTTGTACCCAACCATTCTGCTAAAGCAATGTTAGCTACCGAGGTAATTGCTCCAGTGTCAATTAAACATTTTACAGGTACAGTATTTAAGGGGACATCAACTATTACTGTGTTAGCACTCGCTCCTAATGTTCCTATAAACCCGCTAGTTCTGTTAAATCCTAAAGTAGACCTAGGTCTTGTACTTGTGGTGTTTCTTGGTAAAGTGTTTGCATTTACAGTATTTCTTATTGATGGGGGCCAAGATATTGACAGTGGCCTATTTATTGGCTCTTCATAAATGTTATCTAGTTCTACAATGGGTTCTGGTACACGTTGAATGTCCAATCTTCTCTGTGGAATCGAAGCTTTTGGTGTTTCAGGGCCAAATATTAGTCTACCTAGACGTCCATTTCCAGCATACATTTCAGCAATAATCATTGCGAACCTTATTCCAAAGTCTAGTGCTAAAATTACTACTAAAATTGAGATAATAGTTTCCCAAATGCTTTTATAGTCCCCTATTATTCCCTTTTCAATTTGATTTTCAACTTCCTGCCACTCATTAGACATTGACATGGATATGATAGAATCTTTTTCGTGAATTTGGTAAGTCATTTGACTTACTTTTATTAAATTACTTACAAATGCATGGTTCTTAATATCTGTCATGTTCAATAAAACTAGCTGATGAAACGCATGCGACTCAATATTTGGAATCATGTTAGTAAAATTAAATTTGGCTTCAGGCCATAAAAATATCCTTGGTTTTACCGAAGTAATTCTTCCTTCAACTTGATCAACTTCTAAGACTTGATCATTAATCTGTATAATTATATTCCTAAATTCTTCACAGGGACCCTTTTTGGATGTTGGGGAAACGATCATTGTTACTGGATCGACAAAAGCCAGCTGCTCCTTGCTCTCAGTTTTCAAAATAATTGGCAAGAATTCAAAACATTGGTCTAATTTAGTGGGAGAAAATTCATAATCTTCTTTTTCTAGAGGTACACATGGCCAAACTTTCATTAAAGATCTGGCTGACTTCTTTGCAACTAAATAGGAATTGGAAAAGAGCGAACGGGCCAAGTCAGTTGGATCCGACATGTAAGTAGATTCTACCCAGTGCTTTACCATTTCAGTAAATTCACAAAATGACCTAATTGATTGCGCGAACGCAAAATTTACTGCTTTAGTATGAACGGCATCTAAATATGTGAGCTGCGACGCTAACTGAGAAGAGGTTACAAGTCCGTCAGAAAATGTTCGCTTATAAGCTCTATCCGTATTTCGCTTCCTTCTAGTAAGTTCCAAGGTTGAGATTACTATCGATCCTAAACCCTGATCAGAGACTGAAATGTTCTTCCCACAGTCATGAATGAATGTTTCAAATGTTACATCTGCCTTCTTTTTCTCCGATTGGAATAAAATTACATTTCCTTTGATTGTCCACTTCCCAAATTAAAACGGTTTTATCTTCCAATATACAATTACCCTTAGTATAAGGACAGTCCCTAGTTAATCCTAGCGGCGTTACAACCTCTTCTGCACCGAAATGCGAATCAATTCTGCTCTCAAATAGGAAACAGTTTTCACTCGAAATATTTTTCCAGGAGAATGATCCCATAAACCACATCCTAGGAGTTAAATCAATTTTATTTTCAGTTTGCCAAAGCTTATTATTATCCTTAAGAATGCCGAAGCTACAACTATGATGCTTTATCATCTGATTACACTCTTCTACAGACAAATCTAACTCTTCATGAATTAATTTTTCTTCAACTGGGATTCCTTTTATTGTTGTATATTTTCTCGCATTTTTCTTTATCTTTCTACAGGCCCACGCTTTGGTTGAAAATTCAGTACTATTTGGGACATAAATTCTTCTTCTTTCTACTACCGGAGTATGCTTAGCTGTTAAATTAACCATGGGACAGCTGGGAATTTCAGGCATTTCCCAAATTATTGCCTGTTTATGTTTTTGACATATCATTGGTCCCTTGGGGATTAATACAGGATTAATCGCAAATGTACTACAAAACATTGCTATTAACAAGAGAGTCGTTCCCATAAGTGAAGGTATTCTTACTCTGCGACCTTTATTTTCCCAACTAGGAATTTTATTTGGTTCACCCTTTTCATTAGTACTTTTAGCTTTTTCAGGTGTCCTACTAGACTGTACTGGTTGCAATGACCTTATATTCCCTTGATGATTAGCCGAAGCATGGTTTGCATTCATTCTCATTTCATGCATTTGAATTACTAAATTATCTAGCACTTCTCTAATTTCTTTATTTTCTCTATTTCTATTATCTCTCTGATAGTTATTTCTATTATTAAAAGAATTATTTTGCCTGCGTTCTCTACAATCGTATTGATCATGCCCTGTTCTGCGGCAAAAATGGCAGAACGGTCGGCTATTCCACCTTCTGTCAT